CAAAACATCACCATTAATACTTATTATTATCCTAGAGATATTAACTGACAAAATTCTTTATGAAACAGAAATAAGATGGAAAAGAGGAGGTATAAGTATCATTACTTACAGAGGCTAAGATTTTATGCTGGGAAAATCCAAAGTGATACCTGAAAACCTATACCAGAATGTAAGAGAATTCGAAAAGAAGATTGGATATAAACTAATACCTTTCTGTATACAAACTACAGTGTATTAGAAAGTATATTAGAAGCAAAAAACCCAAAAGTATATGAGAAGAAAATATTCCATTTTCAATAGCAACAAAAAGATAAAATACTTAAATCTGTGTAAAGAGACTTTACACATAGCTGGCAAATTGTGCTGGCAGTTGGCAGGAGGCTTCAGTTCCTTGCATTGTGGACCTTGACATAGCGCTGCTTGAGTGTCCTTGTGGCCTGGCTTTCCCAGAGTGAGTGATCCAAGGCAGATGCGGCAATGACTTTTATGACCTGCTGTAGGAAGTCATGCTCCATCATTTCTGCTATGTTGTCTTGGTGACACGGACCAACCCTGATACGTGGTAGGAGAGGTCTATACAAGGACGTGAATATCAAGAGGCTAGGATCTTGAAAGCTATCTTAGAGGCTGGTTACTCCACAGGATTTATTTGTAGCTAGACAAGCTGATTTTAAACTTCACATGGAAAAGTGAACAACAGGATTGGCCAGGGAAAAGGAATTATAAGAAAAGGAGTTGTGTAAGTAGATAGCAAAACACAATATAAATCTATATTATCACATACATAGACCATTTAAAATAGGAGTCCAATGGAATAGAAGAATATAGAAATTTAAGGTATAATAAAGATGATAAGTCATCAGTGAGCAAAAAGTAATTTACTAAATACATGGTTTTATGAGAAATAGGTTGCCATCTAGAAAAAATTAATTTGGGTATCTACCTTATTCCTTATACCAAAATAAGTTCCAGGCAGATCAAAGATTTAAATATATAAAATGGA